ATCAAAATGAATACTGAATCCACAATACTGTTATTATGAAACAAGTTAAATATTTGAACTTTGGCAGGAATTCAACGGTATTGAAATCCCTAATTCCACGACCGGATTTCATTATCCAGGGACGTCTGTTGTTTGTTGTTAATTTACAATTGCATTCGTATAATTAGGTTGCTCGCCTATGTTGTTTGTTATTACTAAATTGTATTTGAATGTCCATGTTTTTTAAGGGCGGAAAATCATCGAATGACTGCTCCCGCCTGAGTGAGGCGGGAGGGAGTGTCAGACTCTTACTGACTAAAAACCACCCGTTCCTTCTCCTGCACGTCGAGCCGGAGCCCCGGTTACCCGTAAGGTTCTTCGCGACTATTTGAATGTCCATTGAAACTCTTTCTAATTTTGTTAATTGGCCCGGAGGTTTAAAACGTCCGCTGAAGTACTGAAGTCATTGATTCCATGCATTAGGGTACGGGTTTGAAACCTACCAACGACAAGTACCAGTGTGAGGTTTTCCGAGTTGTATGTACTTTCTAATATTATCTTGACACTACTGACAAACGGTGAAGGAAAACATCGTGAGGAAATCTGGGCTATATAATTTCTAAGTATAAGTTTGTAATCGCCAACTCACAATTTTGTGATCACGAGGAATCTTTTTAGTTCTTCGATGTGACGTTCGACGAGTGTGGGAGGGCCATGCTTTGGCACGAATGGGCTGGTTACGACCGGAGTGATACCACGGCCTCACAGAAAGCGACGTGAAGCATCGCTTGTTTTTCGTCGTGTGAGTGAGCTTACCGGAGGCCCAATTACCCTCCCCTTCCCCAATCTCCTCAATCCCTGAATCCCCAACGATTCTCAAACTCCTAATCCCCAAAATGCCGGTAACGCACTTGCAACGCCTCTGATGTTCCAGGTGTCCATGGGCGACGCCGATTGCTTGAGGTGATCCATCTGCTCGTTTACCGGTTTATGCCATAAAAAAAAGCATTGAGCAAGCGTGGTGATTAATGCTCAAACCTTCTCCGTGTGAGAAGAGGCTTTGCTTAGCAGTGGGCATTTATAGGCTGTGGATGGATGATGATGATTTGTTGTTTTTGTCTTACCCTCGAATACTGAAAGGCTGCTTTTAGTTGTACTTAGTTATCGTACCATCTCTGTATTTTACAAAGAATTTGTAATGACTGAACTTACATATACTTAAGTGCGACTTTGAGTGGCATTCAGCGTTCGGGTATAAGTCATTCAAATGACATTTTTTTGCTTAATATTTTTGTTTATGACAACTTGGAAAACAAATCTAAAGTTATATGAATTTTATATATACATTACGCGAACCGTTGTCAATTTCAATCAGTATAGTATTTTTGTTGATATAAGAAAGGTATTGTTTCTCCACAATTCTATGACGTGGGTTCTTCAGATGTGGGTTTATTTAGGTGTTTATAAACATTTGGGTACTGTTATGACGACTGACATGCCTTTGGATCCTCGTTTCTTTGACTCTTCTATATTGTATTAGATTAATATTATCTAATATTGATGATAGAATAGAAACTTATAAGTCAAGATGAAAAAAAAAATGTTTGTTTGCTGTGTTCTTCTCATTCATATATTTTACAGATTTTTTATAAAGTTTAATACTCTAATCTTTACTAGTATATGTTGTTAAATAAAAATAAATATTGACAATCGGTCGTGACATTCTTTTATCTATTTTTTTAAGAGGCGAAAATCATCGAATGACTGCTCCCGCCTCGTTGAGGCGGGAGAGAGTATCTTACTGTTACTGACTAAAAACCACCCCGTTCCCTCTCCTGCACGTCTAGCCGGAGCCCCGATAACCCGCTAGGTTCTCTGTGACTTCAAATCGGATCTTTTTCATCTATTAAGGATCAATGTTATCAATGAAATTCTTATTTAAACAAAGTTTTATGACCAAAATGTTATCAATTTTGAAATGTATGTTTTCTCATAGAAGGTACATACCTACTGGAGAATTGACTGAACGCTGTCGATGCAGATATTTATTTTAAATTCTGTGACCTTAATTTTGACCTCCGTTCCGCACGCGCCTCAAAGAGCTATCAAACCACCACAGATGGGGCCCAGTATGGATGATGCCCGATATGGAACCGCGGAAGACTTAACGGGTTACCGGGGCGCCGGTTTAAAGAGCAAAAGTAGGATCGGGGTGGGTTTTTTAGTCAGTAAGAATCAGACACTCCCTCTCGCCTTACTGAAGGCGGGAGAAGTAATGCGATGATCCCCCCCCCCCCCCCAAAAAAGCCGACTATCAATAGTGGACTTTGGTAGTTAAGTCTATTGAGAGGGTAGCCCTTATTCACGAGGTAACATGATAATGATGGCTACTAATTAATATACTGATATTAAACCATATAAAACATGTGAATATTAAAGAGTTTATTTTAAGGTGATCTGTATTCATAAGTCGATTACAGGACTCATTAAAAATGTGCAACTTTAAAAAGGTTTGAATAAACGCAGCTAAAAGGCTGGGTGCCTTTTGAACCTTCATGCAATATTTATTTTATCGATACGAAGTTACATTTTATAGTTTACAAAAACACTTTATCAATTAACTTCATGCAATAAGTTTAAGTTTAAATAAATCTTTATTTTAATATTACTAAAAAGTTTTATAAAGTCAAACGTTTAATTAATTTAAGTTCAGAAAGTTTCAATTAGAATAGACGCAATTAGGGTTTGAAAATTAAATCTTACTATTGTTTGGTTAGAACCAAATTTTACATCTATGAAGTAATCATTGTGTCAACAAATATTAAACTGTCAAACACCAAGCGGTCACCGGTGACCGCAACCTATTGTTCTATAATTGTGTCTACAAAACCGGTACTCGACGAGTTAAATAGCTACCTATATCATTAAAATATTCATAACAATAAGCCTAGAAGACAAAAATACGATATGAATGTTTGAACACAAATTTATTTAAATAATTATTCTATTTGCTGGAAAAAAGGGCTTTAACCTCTCCAAATATTTACTGCTATTAAAGAAACTACCATTAGTTGAAGGATTAATAGATTAATACATCACTAAGCGCATAATTTCAGAACGGTTAGCCTCATTTACTTTATTAAATTACACAATTTGTTTTCACGAGAAAGTATCAAAAGAATCAATGAAATATCATAATGAATATTAATTAGGAACAAATTCTAGTACCGAGTGTTCTTAGAACACGTCTTATCGTTACGAAACAAAAGATTAATAAGCAACATTACTAAATACCAACAAAATGAACAAAGAGATATTGTCTAACTGGGCACATCAAACAACAATAAACAATATAGCCAATATTCATTTTCAACATGTCTGAAATATATAGGTGATTTTAATGTTGGTACGTACCTAGGTTCGTAAATACGATACCCTTCGCCCTGTGTCTGAGACAAGATAATCTTGTTCAAGTCAACCACACAAAGCCGTCTGACCGATACACCGAAGCTGATTCGTTATAGCATCGTCTATAGTTTCTATTGTCGTATTTTGTCTGAGTATTAAAATAACAAGCATTAAACAAATCGAAGATACCATTTAGCCTATAGATAAATTTTACTTTTATTTTAAGTAAGTATTTTAATCAACGTCCATATATCCTGTGGGCAAAAATAATGATAAGTTTTCTTATGAAATAGAAGGCAAATGAGCATATGTATCATCAAGTAGGTATTTTTACTGGCTAGGTATATAGTTTTATATTATTATGTAAAACTAGCAGCCCGTCCCGGCTTCGCACGGGGTAGACAATTATTTATTTTTGGAAATTTGGATTGTTGTAGTGACATAACTACAATAGTTGGACATATGCTACCGCGGAGGTTTTTGTAGACATTATGATGTTCTTCAATATTGTTGTACATTATTTTGTTCTATCGCTAATAGTTTCGGCAGCGCATTCGACGAAAGACATTTTAAGACTCATTTTTCTACACCTTCGGTTACATTGTTCAAATTTTACCAAGGATCCCTAATATTTTTCAAAATGAAATGTACCCTATGTCAAATCGGAAGAATGTAGCATTCTATTGGTGACAGATTTTTTTAAATCAGCCCAGTATTTTTTGAGCCTATTCATTACAAACATACAAAAATAGGTACAAATCTTTCCTCTTTATAATATTAGTATAGATAAACGATTATTGAACCATATTTAGAACACCAGGTACTCATTACATTAGTCTCCTGAAACGTCTAACAATTTATTTCCATAATATCATAACTGTCGCAGCGTGCAATTTTCATACATTTCCCTAAGACCAAGGAAACAAGATTACAAAAAAATTTAAAGACTACTTTGCCTCGTATCTTAGCCTCAAATCAAAATGGGCTCTATATTCTACGTTAAACAATCTATTATGCAGTAAACAACCACAATAATTTTTAATCCAATGTTCTTAGAAATGTTGTAAGCGTTGGTTAGTGATGTCTTTTAGTATAAAAACGTCGTTTTATGTAAATTAAGTGCCGGTCGAATTGCACCCCATGGATCTCGGGAGCGATAAAGCGAAATTAACTATCTTACTGTACCACAGCAAAATGGCAGATGTTACTAAGTACATTCACTTGAAACGGACACTTTAATAAATTATTTATCTCTGTTTCATTTCTACTGAGTTCTGTTTTATAATGTTGAATTGAATTTAACGAGTTAATGTTTGAACGAGGAAGACTATGCAATGTTTTATTTTATCAGTTTTTCTGTATAATTATGTCTTTAGTAATTCTTAGTCTTTCAATTTGCTCGGGTGTCATCACAAGGACCGCCCGGAGTACCCGTGGAGCATACGGTGGCGGAGTGCTTTGTATAGGCTGAGCACCGTTTTGCCAATTCGTCCTAACTCCTTAGTCGTTTGTGCCAAAACAATAAAACATAGGCCTTTCACGTTTAATATTTTACAATTAATTGAATAATACTTGTGTACTATTAACTCATAAAAACTTTCCCTTGTTCCCAGGTATTTCAGCGGGCGGGGGCGGTGACACCAGCGAAGAGATCACGACCAGCACGATAGACTTCGCGTTGAACGTCACATCGACCACCGAGAGCGTCGCCCAGCCCTACTTCGACAATGCAACTAAACGAGATTATACTGCAGCAGTTGGACAGCCCGCGTACCTACATTGTCGTGTGAAGAACCTTGGTGATCGAGCGGTATGTTTTTATTATTTCTTCATTGATTTTAATTTTATATTCTTTAGTTCATAGGTATCAGAGATCAGTCTTAAATTTCTGCAAAAAAATACAGATTGGAGATATTATCATACAAGAAAACCAACGCATTGAATATCAATACAAAGCAAAAAATAATAGTAAGGATTAAATAAAAATCGCGGGTTTCTCACGTGAATATACTGAGAAAATGTCTACTGGTTTCGCTGGTGGTAGGCTGACATATCGCGACATCGCCGCGATATCATGAGGGGGAACCCCTTGGTGGTTCGAAACTAGTAAAGCTTTTCTCAGTAAATTCACGCGGGTAACCCGCGATTTTTAATTAATTTAATATGTCTCACGATAGTTATTATAAAAACAAATCATGTTAAAAATTCGTTTAAAGGATTCATTTTTCTAAAAACGTGGATATGTTGCATATTTTGCTATAGTGTATATAAATATATTAAGTATATAGCATATGTATGTAGCTAATAACATCGATCAAAGTCGAACAACAGTCTATTTGTCTGTCCTTTTTAAAACAACACGTACCTAATGTACGCTAGAATCAGCACGAAAGCCAGCAGCTATTCTAATTCCGTCCGCATTGAATGGGCACAGAACTAAACTTGGAATGTACAGCGCGGATGCAGATTAGCACCTTGTCTAGGATTAGTCCTGCAGGCTTTACGTTCAACACCAAAGCACTGAAGCTCTATCCAGTTTTATTCGAATAATTCTACATTTAACTGCAAACTACGACAAACAGTTGACGTTTCCTTTCTGTGACGATTTTGTCACATCTCCCATATTCTAGTAGTTCATTTTATCACCTGTATATTTGTAGGGTTTGGTGTCTTTGTTCAGTAGAATATCTTTATTTCAATTGTCATGTTATTGGTTTATGTTGCACTTGAATGTAATGTGATGTTGTGTTGTGTGAACAGAATAACATCACACCTTCTATCTCCGAAGGGTTAGGCAGAGGTGCACATTACTGTGCTTAATGCCACAACAATCTAACACCCATTTTTCACTTTTGGGGGTGAGCCTGTTGCTATATACCGAGCATAATTCCAGGCTCCATGCTACTAATGAGATTTTTTTTAAAACTCCAGTAATTGTTTGCCCGACCCAGGAAACGAACCCGAGACCCCTTGCCAGGCAGTCGCACTTGCGACCACTCGGCCAAAAAGGCAGTCGTGTGAACAGATTCAGTTATAATTGGAAAATATATTTTATGAATTATAATAATCCATCTGATACTAATACACTACACTAGTTAGGAATAAAAAATACAGTCGAATTGACAACCTTCTTCTTTTATTTGAAGTCGGTGGAAAAATATTTGCAAATATTTTTAATGAATATTGATTAGGTAATTATGTTATTTGCACTTGAGTGTTTGAAAGTCTAGATGATTTATTGTATGCTAGTAACGTTAAAAAGATAGTCTTATAATTGCCATTTTTTGTTCGAAAAAGTAACTTTTCTTTTTTCCGTAAAGCACTGTTTCTAAGATCGTGTTGTTTAACTAAGACAGAAGATGTTCTTAAAGAAAATTAATGATCATGGCCTCAATCAACTATCAGCTCACCACTTTTTGTTGAACTTTAGTATAAAAAATATTTTTATCTACTTAGGTCATTTAGTTGACTGCCTTGTTGATCCATTGGTTTTATACACGAACGTTTTTCACTGAATTTTGGGATCATTTGATACTATTTTTAGGTATATATAGCAACGGCGTATATTTTTTATAGCGTTTATATTGAACGTGGATATTATATATCACAAAAATTTTGAGTGGTGTTTTTACAGTTGGCATGGCAAAGTGGTTAGGCTACGGGCTGTGTCGTGGGTTTTATTCTTTGTACGGAACAGTTCTTATGTAGATCCAGGTTCAGTGATGTGTTCCAGGTTTATGTGATGTGGTTGTAAACGCACAAAAGATACAGAAGTCAAGTGTAGAATATCGTTAATAAAAATTAGCCGAACATAGTACCTCCTCATTTTTGAAGTCGTTAAAAAGGTATTCAATTTAATTGTGCCTATCTCAACGTCTACTTACAAAGAGAACACACATGAATACACACACACACAACACAACAGGCCCCGAAAAAAAACAGCACCTCATCTAAGCAATTCGTTTTATTATCTCAGGCTTTCCGCATAATAAAGTTGAAATAAAGGTTTAGTTAACCATGAGAAGTCAGAGCCCAAACCGTCTCAAAATTAGGCATACCGTCCTAAATATAGCCTTTTGTGAGAGACACTGTGTACCTAAGTAATTACCTACTTTATTGAAAACGTAGCCTGCGTACTGCGTGGCAGAAACTTTGAGGAAATGTTTTAGATAAGGGAAGCCATTTATTTTAATGAAAAATGACGACCTTTTTTACGCCGTACGAAAATATTTCTGTTACACTGTTACATGGTACAATACATTTTTACACGGCATTTGCTTGGACAATAAAATATTTTATGTGCTTTGTGGATGTTATTGATTTTTTGCGGGCGAATTTGATGGGAACATGATATTATATTTGCAATGATGTGGTCGTAAACATTGGTTATTGTTGTGTTGGTTCTGTTCAACGTGTTAAATGATTAATGTTTTTGTGTATTTATTTAAAGTCGAAAAGGTTCTATTATCTCGTTTGTCGAATTAACGAATTTAATCCGTAATACATTTTTGAGATGTGTATTCTAGAACGTGCTTTTCGAATAAGTTTTTTAAGTGTAACAGAGCCATGCTTCGGCACGAATGGGCCGGCTCGATCGGAGTGATACCAACGCTTGTGTTGGGTTTCGTCGTGTGAGTGAGGTTACCGGAGGCTCAAATACCCTCCCCTTTTCCAATCTCCCCAATCCCTGGATCCCCAACGATCCTCAAACTCCTCCTCCTCCGCCTCTGGTGTTCCAGGGGTCCATGGCCGACATCAGGTGATCCGTCTGCTCGTTTACCGGCTTATGGCATAAAAATAAGTATAAAGCACATATGGAATTGAAAAATAATTTAATATTACCTCTGTATTAGTAAACAGAAACAGTCTATCCGTAACCAGAATTTCACCTAAATCCGTTAAGTAGTTCTGTCACAACAAAAATCCTCTCAAACTTTTGGGTTTATTATAGTACGTAGTAGGATTACGTTGGCGTCGGCCAAAAAACTACCTTGGAAACTTTTCCTTTTCTGCAGTGGCTTTTAACATCAAAGCATAGTAGATTATGACCCATTTTCTCTGAAAGTAAAGTCCTGAATTCACCGGCAGGACATTAATAGGCTTCTTCGTGATAAAGCGCTGAGGTTACATGTGACGTCATAATTACAGTACAATGTTGGTAATTTAGGAACATTGTTTACAAAACAATTAGTGCGAGCAAGATGTCTTGTGGATAGCAATTTACATTTTGATTGCATAATGTGATGACTCAGACCCGTTGAGCTATTGTAGGTAGTATAGGTAGTAATTAAAAGTTTAAAGCCTAGTTCAACAGGGTCGGCGCATTTTTAATCATTTTAATATAGTATATTCCGTAGAAAAATTGTTTGATAATAGCATGTTAATTATTTGAAACAACCATTTAGAGAACTTTTTTTTTTAATTTGTAGTTGACGTATAAACATTAGATAAAAAATATTATTAGAAATTGAATCAAAGCAACTGTATACTGTTACTCGTAACCCTGACATAATCATTATTTCTACATAATATTTGTTTCTACATAATAATATATATATTTACATTATCATACATCTTGTAAAATACACAGATATACAATAAGTGAAACTAAGAACAAAATATACATTTCTAAGAAAGCATTGTTAGTAAAGTAAGCAGGATTTTCTCCTGAATTTAATAGGGTACGAAATAATAAACGTTACATCGAAGTATTACAGAGATTTTTGTCGGCATTTTGTCGTCGGAAAAAATCTCTATCGATAACAAAAACTAGAGTTATATTTTTCTTTTTATTTGTAACTTTTCTTGTGTTTTTTTGTATTTAGTTCGTAGATGCAAGAATATATATGCTTTTCCGTCGTGTATAAAGTGTGGGAGAGCCATGCTTCGGCAAGAATGAGCTGGCTCGACCGGAGTGGTACCACGGCCTCACAGAAAACCGACGTGAAACAACGCTTGCGTTATGTGTCGTCGTGTGAGTGAGGTTCCGAAGGCCCAATTACACCCCGCCCTAGTCTCCTCAATCCTCGAATTCTCCACAATCCTTAAATTCCCAATTCCCAAACGGCCGGTAACGCACTTGTAACGCCTTGGTGTTCCAGGTATCCATGGGCGATGCCGCTTGCTTTGGGTAATCGTCGATAATGAAAAAATATTACACACGTATTTTTTATTTTCACGTGTAAAGTTACAATACGTACTTAAATAGAATGGAGTGAAGTTAAGGAGGTCACATGATATTTCAAATTAATGTATCGTCCAAAATAAACCAGTTACCAAATTAAATATTAAATAATTACCAGACGGAAATTAAAATAATACTTAGGTAACTACTAGGGTTGCCACCCGTACTTTATAATAAAGTATTGTACGTTATTTAAGGTAATTGTACTCTATACTTTATAAAAATAATAAAGTACACGAAAATACTTTATTTTTGCAAAATTCGATATCGATATTTATCGACTTATGTTGAATCGATTTCGTCACTCGCAAGCGCCACTTAGACAATTTCTAGTAAAGATGCAATTGTTTAGTAAAGGTACAGGTAAAGGTACTAATTTAATACAAACTGCAAAAAGCAATAAAAAGTATATGTTTAAATATAATACTAAATAAGAATAATTTGTACTTTATTTTTTGTACTGTGTACTTTTTTTCCTTACCTATAACCGTCAATGTACTTTAAATCCCAAAATAAAAGGTGGCAACCCTAGTAACTACCCTAATTACACAAATATTAAATCATTTTAATATTTAATACTTTAACTGCCAACTTTAAAACGATGAAAGTCAAACCTCCACTAGCGT